GTCCACCGGGTCAGCACTCGCTCCCAGCCTCATATCGACACACACGAAGGAGTCCTCCACATCTAAGAACGCGTTGCCCCCTGCCGCTATAGCTGGAGTAGTTCTTGGAGCTGTTGTGGTATGCTGTGTCATCCTGGCAGTGACCCTTCTCTTCGTCCGTCCAAGGTACTGGAATCGAAGCTGTGATAAGACAGCCGAAGCACCCGTACTGTCGTCATCGTCATGCAGGACTTCAAGCATGACTCCAGATACGGTTTTGCAACGATCTTCGGGGTCTAACATAGGTCAAGCTCCAGGCCAGAATGCACATCAAGCTTCGGGTCAAGCTCCGGGTCGAGCACTGGATCAAGCATCGATGCAGAGTCCATGCATATCACCATGTTCCCCTGGAATTCTGCAAATGATTGGCCCTCCGCCCCCGCCTCTAGACAAACCAGACACACCAGTGTTCGAAAAATGCTCAAATTCTGTGTATGAGCTTCAAGAGCCCGAGTAGATCATGACCCTGTACACTCTACTACTTGAGCCGGAGGGCAAGCTGGAAGAAAAATCAATCATGTAGAGTCGATTCATGGCTTTGTCCGCATGAACGTTATCTACAACCCCATTGAAGTGGCTTGCCAGGACGATTTCCCAATCTTAGGAGTTCGTCTGTGTTGGATACATAGCTGGAAAGAGTGGTCGAACGTCATGTGCGTCATATGTCGAGGCCATGCATAGTACAATTCCATACAAAGAATCATCGTCACTGTGGCAATTCCACAGATATGGAGGATTTTTGAAGACCGTCTCCAGAACGATGACTTCGTAGATCCCTGCCACGTACGCCTTCTACAGCATATATCTCAGTTTCGTGGCAATGATACTGCTAGGAAATTGCTTTACCTCCTTTCAAAGTATGATAAGTTCGCTTCCAGATCTGCTTTCACACTATTGTTATCAGCAGAGTGCAACTCTAGAAGGGGCTTGTACAGAGCATGTCTACATCTGAGAGATTGACAAACGCTAATGGATGGAGGTCACATGGCGATGATATCCGTTGATGGAGCTGGCAGATGCTAGCCGTAGCGTTGCGCAGTGGCTTGGGGTCATGGTACCCGCCGATTCTTTCACCAGAAGGCTCTCTTCGAAGCTAGTCTGTTACGTAGTAAATGCTCCTGGAAGTGTCGTGCTTATAACATCTCGAGACCAAAGGAATGAACATGCTCGACTGTCACTCGAAAAATATCCTTCCGATGGCGCTCTTACTAGATTGTGTCAAGACCAAACTTCTTGATAGGTCACCTTTGATGAATGACGGCAGACAAACTGCATTCTTGATTCGACGACCCGGGAGGAAGGAACAAAGAAGGCCTTTGACGTGTACTACGGGATGGTGTTCCCGGCCTGGACAAAAGCGGAAACGAGGTGCTCGTTGCGTGGCTAGTATTCAGCATAAGCACTGCTGCCAACAACCACTGTCTGACAAGGACTGGATCACAATGAAATCTACGTTGTGTTTTTTCACCTACCTTGTGTACTTCATCGATACCGAGGCATCCAAGTTAGAGTGAGTCAGTGGAGGTTTACGCTGTCTGATCGTAGTGGCTCTCTGTTTTATAACGCCTCATTCACTAAGTTGTTTCGGTAACGCCACCCACTGATTTAGTTTACAAGAGTCCTTCGAGCTCAAGGATGGGCTTTTGCTCGAGATCACTACTGGGTCAAGAATTCAATCCGACACTGGCATCGGATGTAGTCATGGAGCCACAACACAAAAGCAGGTCAACAATTGCTATCCCATAAGTTCTCGTGCCTCGGCATGAGATCTATGTAAGGCACTCAAGATTCAAAATTCACAGCCGAGTACTCGATCAGAATGTCTCTCTCGAAAAGTGAGTTTCAGTCTTTTCCCGAATCGAGCTTCAAAACTTCCGAAGAATTGAAGGCGCTCGTATCCAAATATGGATCGACAATGAACAACAACCGACATTCCTCTCTCCAGTCCACCTATCACGTACTCTCATGCCTCTGCATACTCGCGAACATCACTATCGCAGGATGGATGTTTGTCGGTCAAAACTTGACGAGCCTGGAACGCTTGCGAGGAAAAGCGACGACGGCACTCAGTGCGAACTTCTGTGCTTGTATCGCGATTCGCAATGAACATGTCATCAACATGCTCGTTAGAATCGCCTGTAGCCTGCCGCACCGTACTCCGTTGAGAATAAGGACGTCAGCGGCTCGAATCTATTGCCACGGTGGCGTTCACTCCGGCTGCGCTATCTCCGGTGCTATCTGGTATCTAGTGTCCACATGTCTCTGCCTCTTGGCATCTCCAAGGGCGTCTCGTACTCAACCAGCACTTAGCTTTGTCTCAGGGATCACAATGCTACTGCTTATAGCCAT